CTCCGCGGCTCCTCGGCCCCACCTGCGCGGAGAGGGCGGGATGCCAGAGCCAGGTGTCCCGGCGCGTTAAGGACCCTCGCGATCAGACGTCCCTGCACGGGCGCTCACACCCTTAGTCAGCCCGGAACGTCTTTTTGCGGGGAGCCCTAGGAGCAGCCGCGATGGCCAGCACCAGGAGTATCGAGCTGGAGCACTTTGAGGAACGGGACAAAAGGCCGCGACCGGGGTCGCGGAGAGGGGCCCCCAGCTCCTCCGGGGGCAGCAGCAGCTCTGGCCCCAAGGGGAACGGGCTCATCCCCAGCCCGGCGCACAGTGCCCACTGCAGCTTCTACCGCACGCGGACCCTGCAGGCCCTCAGCTCGGAGAAGAAGGCCAAGAAGGCACGCTTCTACCGGAACGGGGACCGCTACTTCAAGGGGCTGGTGTTTGCCATCTCCAGTGACCGCTTCCGGTCCTTCGATGCGCTCCTCATCGAGCTCACCCGCTCCCTGTCGGACAACGTGAACCTGCCCCAGGGTGTCCGCACTATCTACACCATCGACGGCAGCCGGAAGGTCACCAGCCTGGACGAGCTGCTGGAAGGTAGGAGGGGAGGGCGTCGCACGGCAGGTGCGGCGGAGCGCCGGCAGGTGCAGTGGGCCCGGGCCCGCGCAGCGGGGAGCCTGCGGGGTGCTTTCCAAGCGGCACGAGAATTGATGCTTCTGTCTGCTTCTCTAGAGATTGGCTGGAGGTGGCGGGTGGGGGGCGGTGGGGTGCCCACATACACGCTGACTTTCCTTCCCAAGAGATTTGTCTCTTAAAGAAGGGAAACATTTCCTAATGGTCAGAGGCCAATTGAGGCACTGGTGGCATGTGCTAAGATTGTTGAATTTACTTGTGTTGAAGTGCAGAATGTTTGAGAAAATGGTTCTCCCATGGGGAGCTGGGTAATCCCCTACTGATAAGCTCTGTTGGACCCTCGGTGTGGACGCTGGTGCAGGCACCTGTCATGTTCCAGTTTTCGGGGTCCTGTCGTGACTGCTGTCAGAAGCTGTGGTTGTGAAATGCTCTAGGTTGGCTTTCCTAGTTTGCTTTGCAGCAGAAGTTACTTGAGGTGAAGAGGGATGATCCTAGTCAGCGGGTCTCAACCTTGGCTTCATCTTCCAAGGGGACTAGGAACCTCAAAAAATATGGGACCCTGATCCCCCAACCTCCAGATATCCTGATTAAATTGGTTGGGTTTGGGGTGTGGGTTCGGCGTCTGGAGTCTCCAAAGCCCCCACCACCCAGGTGATTCTCATGTGGAACCATGGTTAACAATCACTGTGCTAAAGGGTTTTCCATGTGAGGTTGGAAAAAAGGTAAATCAAGGTCAATCTCTCCTGCCTTATCCTCTAGTAAGAGTAGCTAATTAGAATGATAGAGGCTATTGGATTCAGCAGTGGGGCCTCATCATAAATTAGTAATTCTGCTGTGTCAACCGTGCCTCGGTCAGAGAGACTGCTTGACTGTATGTTGGGTCATCCTTGAATTCCTGCAATACTTAGGTCTCATCCTTTTCAGGTGGAAAAGTCATTATCAGTAGTCTAGAACCTGTTTCCAGTTCTAAATAACACCCAGAAAGACCAGGCAGAACCCAAGTATGTGCTGACTACGTGCTTACATACGGTCCGCTCTTGTGCATCTTTCTTAATGCAAATGGCACGTTCCATGTAGTCACAGCAATAGCTTGGCAGGGAGAGGAAGCTGAACATCAAGCCAAAGGTTTTTCTTATATTATCTCAGCATGCTTTTCTGTCCTGAAGACATTATCCCCATTTTATAGATGAGGAAACTTAGGGAGCGTGCTTGGCCTCACAGTGCCTGCAGCATCTACTTTCTCATCTACAGTTCACCTCTCCTGAGCTAATGTAGCCACATCGAGGAGAACTAAAGGTGGTTGAGTTTATCTATTTAGTCACTGCCATCAGAAGTTTTTGCTGCCTTGCCTAGATGGCAACCCAGCCAAAATTAAATTGACTCTTCAGTCTACATGTGTGCTTGTGACTTCACCCATTCTGTCAGTCAGTTGTGTGTTTTGGTTTTAAGGGCTTCTTGAGGTAAGGGGATAGCTGGAGAAGTATAAAAAAGGAAGATACAATGTTCAAAGGGCCTTGTTTGCTTTTCTTAATCATGTTAAACACTTACAAGCAATATTTGCCTAGCTATTTTAAAACCGAGTCGCCAATTTTTTGACTGACCCAAGATCAGATTTGCAGGATCAAGGCAGTGCCTGTTTGCTTAAGCACTTGTTACTCAACATGCCCTTGGGATACTGTTCCTGGTATGGTTTCTTAAGGGTCAACAATGTTAATATCCTTCTCTAAAGAAATTTCAACAATGGATTTACTACGTAAAATTGACATAATGTAAAGATGAATCTCATTATAGGAGAGATGATTAGATGGACATTATGCATGTTCATTAATAGGAGTACATAGTATAGATTGCGTCTTTTACCGCCCACAGCGTGCATGGCCACTGGGTCTAATTCTGCAACTGTAGTTTCAACTACAAATTGACTGTTAACAGTTTTCCTTCGAATCATTCACTGATTTTTAGTGGATGGGAATTTGGAAAAAATATTATCTATGGAGTCCAAATCATACCAAAATATGATAAATAATATAACAAATATTTGCACAGCCAAAATTTTTTTATGACTTTTCCCACTTGTTTGAAGAAGTTTTTAATATAATATTACTGCAAAAGAAGAAAACTTGGGCACTTTTTTGTCATATGGAATTCTCTCTGACAATGGGTCTTTAATTCTTGAATTTCTCCCCAAATTAGTAGAATACTCTATAGAAATGCATTTTATTTTTTTTTAAGAAAAATATAGGTGCAGTAGCTCATGTCTGTAATCACAGCCCTTTGGGAGACTGAGGCGGGTGGATCACCTGAAATCAGGAGTTTGAGACCAGCCTGATAAAGTGAAACCCCATCTCTACTTAAAAAACAAAAAATAACAAAAATTAGCCGGGTGCGGTGGCATGTGCCTGTAGTCCCAGCTACTCAGGAGGCTGAGATGGGAGAATTGCTTGAACCCAGGAGGCAGAGATTGCAGTGAGTCGAGATCACGCCACTGCACTCCAGTCTGGGCGATGGAGCAATACTCTGTCTCAATAAAAGAAAAAAGAAAAAAAGAAAAATAGTCACTAATGCTTACTGTCAATCATTCCAGAATGTAAATAGTTTAAACTTTTATTTAAAATTGTGTGCTCAGATTTTTCATGTAGGAGAACTAAGCAGCTATCCGTGAAGTTATTTGTATTAGTAAAAAATAGGTCTGTGATATATTCACCACATTGTCAAAATTGACTGCTTTATTTCATTTGGGTTGATTATTTTTAATAAAGCTCTCTCAGGCAGTATTTTACAGCATTATGTTCAACTAGGCTCTGCTTCTTCGATCCCATGAAACTTGTAGTTTAGAAGGTATGCTTTTTCTGAAATGTCTTGAGTGAAGAATAGTGATGACTCAAAACACTAGGACATGAGCATTCATTCAGAGCTCCAATCTCATTGAACTCAGATGACAAAAGATATTTGCATGGCTCAAATTATTTTTTCTTCTGCCCTTGACCTTGAGAGTCTCTGGAGACTAAAAGCTGTTCTAGTGTGAGCTGGCACTCCTCCAACACTCCCCTAAACCAACAAGCATCTTCAATTTATTGATTTATCCACCCTTGCTGGATTAAGTTAGAGTTGATGCTGTGCAGTCCTGTAATCCTGTTTATTATTTAAAACTAAATGGGGGACCTCTTCCTGCAGGACTGTGGCTCTTAATCAATATTGGGAAAATTAGTTGAACTGTCTTAAGCTGTGAGCCTGCTGAGCTCAGTATCTGTAATACCCAGCAGAGGATGTCCAGATGACTTGTTCTTCGGCTTTCTTGTTAGTGACTGATTCAGAATTTCTAGTCTTAGTTCCATTCCATGTGTCTTCTCTCCTTCTGAGCGTTTGTCTTCTCTCCTTCTGAGCATTTTGAAATATTTGTAAAGTTTTGATGACCTAAAGAGATATAACCAAGGACAGTAGAAAAAAAATGCCTGACCAAGTCAGGATTCCTGAGTTCTGACTAGATTTGAGAAAAATTTCATCTCACTTCCCTGGCCTTGGTGTCTTTTTCTCTGGAATGAGAAGTTGGCAGACCACCTCTCTAAGTTAGGTCTCTTCTGGTTTAAAAATGTGTATGTACCCTTCATTATCTGAGGGGTTATTGGTGGAGCATACGATGGCCTGGGCTGCCTTTCCCTAGCCAGAACCCATCTTCCGGAAAATTGATGAGGCTTTACATGTCCAGATACCAATCACAGAATGGGGTGTATAGCTCTGATGAAGTGCTTGCCAAGAGTCGAAGGTATTAAGAGCTACCTATGTCTGCCTCTCTCATTCCAAAGTAAAATGTCATTTTGTTATTTCTACCTTTTATCCCTTCGTAAACAATAAACTGTTTGTTGGCATATGAGAGAATTTTGGTTATTTCGATAATGATACTTTCATTCCTTCATGAAGTTAACTTGAACATTTAAGAAAAATAAGATTCTAAAGAAGTCAAACACATGAAGTTTGAGGTCCTCCTACCAAACCTATCTACTGCATTTGTTTTGTTAGGTCAGGTCTTTGAAAGTGTTAAATAAACCAAAGTATGTTTCTGCGAGTTTTTAAGTAAAAATGAATTTCCATAAGAACCTAGATTATACTTAGTTGTTTTTTCCTGAAAAACAAACTTTATAATAATAGAAACTGTGGAACTTATTACAGTAAGAAGGAAATAAACTCATGAATTATCAGGTATTTGCACATAGGAGTCAAAAATGGTGCACACGAAAGTCATACGTGGTGATTGGACTTGGAAAGTTAGTATTGAATCTTAGGTCTGCAAAACTTTCTTTACCTGCGAAACCCTTGGATTCCTAAAGGCCCACTTCAGATAGCACCTGTGAAGTCTCTTTCCACTTCTCTGTGCAGCTGGTCTCAAGTGGTTAGTTGAGGGCATACTATATCCTAGACATGGTCACAAGCTTACGGTCTCTTCCTTCAAAAAATGCATGTTCTCCTAGGAGAGAGATAGTAAACATACACACACACGGAATGGCGTCAGCTAAAGTGCTGTAAATGAAGTGATGACATGGGGCAGGATGGCCATATTGGCCGGGGTCATGGGGAAGGCTTCCTAGAGGAACAGACATTGGAGCCAAGGCCTGAGGTCAAGTTTATAACTCTTTCCCCTGCTTACGGCATTTTTCTTTACTTCTATTATAACCCTTAGCTTTGAGTCTCATGATCTATTGGATCTGTTTTTGCACTCAACTGAGAGAAGCCTGTGGTCAGGGATCTTAAATACAGTCAATTCATTGATTAAATAACCCAGACAATGATTTTACCTCTAAGTCCCTTAGTTGTCAAGGGAAGTTTTGTATGAATTAAGCTTTAATGAGATTCCTAGATATTTGTTAAAATATTTTTTTTGGAAAATTGGATTACGTTTTAGATAAACGTATAATTTGGGGGGAAATTCTGTGCTAACCATTTTGGAGGGAATGAGTCTTCCATAACAT